AACAGGGGGTATTGAATCACCATGTCTGTCTGCCTCTCTGTAGGGAGAAGTTAAACCCTGCATTTAGGTAACTATCTGGCTTTTCTTACAGAGCATTCAAACAGTACTGGCATCTTTGATGCTTATATAGAATGATGCATGTTCTGAATGCTGCATCATGTATATTTAATGTGAATCTTTGACTAGTTAAACACAAGATTAATCTAGGTGTTAAGGTCACTTTCCAGCTTCCAGCTTATCTCAAGGGGTTTATAACCAAACCTGGTGTGGTGCATCGATGAATACTAACTATGATACATGTATGTGCTTCAGATTTTGATCCTTGCTCCAAATGCTGCAATTGACTTGTAATTTCGGCTTCAGGGACTTTGGTGAAATGCAAGTATTGTAGGTATGGTGCATCAATGCATATACAGTGTGATGCTCTGGATATTGCATTTGACCTAGATTTTATGCTTCAGTATGTAACCGAGCAGTAAGGATGATATGAAGAAATCTGATGTTGGTAGCCATTTTATTTAATGAAGTTTAAAAAGACATTGACCTATAACAAATATAAAGAATAAATTAGAGAAAAATACAATTTACACTATAGTTTCATAAACTTTGACAATAAGTTACCGTTTAATGCAGCATACAATATATTAGATAGAAAAAAATGTTCTGTAGCAAAATGAACTTTGAACTTACAGACAAATATAAGAAATTACTCAGACAACTTTAACTGCAAAAATACAATAACATATAAACTTTGCAATTAAAATATAATGTCAAGCTCAAAACTTGTATAGTAAAGTAACAAATAAATAAATATGATAGTTACATACCACAAGATGCAGCTGATATACGCTTGATAGATATCTTCTTTATTAAATGTAATATTACCCAATTTTGCTTAGTTTGAACGGTTACTTACATGTATACTCAAGGTAAATTAAAACTATTGGATAATGTCAAATGAACCAATGAAATTGAAGATAGAAATCGACTCAATCTGATGCGCAAAAGAATTATATTACAAAAAAATTTAAGATTACTTTAGATGAAACGAAATATAGAATGATCCCAAAACGAATAAATACATAAGAGATATATAAATATTAAATCTGTACTATCACATTCGCCCCTGCAAAATTTTAATCTGTCCTCAGATTAATATAATAAATACATAAGAAAAATATATCAAAAATATCATCAATATGAAAAGAAAAATATATGCAATATAAATTATCACGAAGAGCATTTATATTCCACTGACAAAAATCCGTTTCTCAAACATGAGGTAGAAAATATTCACACTTCACTAATCACTGGTTTTATTTCTACTCTGTTCACATTTTTCACAATATCACCATTCACTGGTTTTACACTGTACACTGATTTATAAGGTTTATCCAAAATAATGTGAACTTCTGGTTTCCATTTGTCTTGGATCTTATCCCGGCCTCGCACACCTCGATTCTGAACGTACACTCTGTCACCGATCATGAGTCCTTTTTCGCATCTGCCAAAATCGTGTCTCTGTTTTTGTGCTGTTTTGTTTCTGGTAAGTTCTTCCTTGGCTCTGTTGTAAGCGAATGCCAGCTTCTCTGAATGTAATTCTACCCATCTGTCGATGTTGATTTCATCTGACGGTTTGGTACTTCGGCCTAAAAGGAAATCTATTGGAAGATGTGGTTGACGACCATACATCAAGTAATAAGGAGAGTACCCAGTCGATGCGTTTGGTGTAACATTGTAAGAAAACACTAACTCTTTTATGTATTCTGGCCACTTCCGTTTCCTAGCTGGCGGTAACGAGCTGAGTAGGTCATGTAGAGTTCTGTTAAAACGCTCACACTGGCCGTTGCCTTGGGGGTGATAAGCTGTTGTTCTTGACTACTTGAAGTTATACAGGGAACACAGTTGTTGTATTATTTCTGCTTCAAAGCACTTTCCTTGATCGGAATGAATCCGCTTACTTACTCCAAATATACAAAATAATTCTTTTTCTAACACTTTGGCCACAGTCTGTGCTGTTTGATCCCTTGTTGGAATTGCGATGGTCCATTTACTAAATACATCTGTTAACACTAATACATTCTCGTATCCCTGAGATTTTTCTAAGATGGAAAAGTCTATAGCAACACATTCCAATGGCTCTGATGCACTTAAATGTCCCATGTTAGTGTGCACTGTTGGTGGTGGTATTTTTGAAACTGTGCAACGGTAACATTTCTGACAATAGTTCTTGATGTCGTTGTACATTTGCGGCCAGTAGCATCTTTGTCTGATGATGTTGAAAGTTCGCTCGATTCCCTGATGTCCATTCTCGTCGTGTAAACTCTGCAGTACAATGTCCTTGAGACACAAAGGAAGAACGATTTGATTCAGGTCACCAAGCTTCGGGTCACTAATCCGTCTATGAATGACGTCATCACAAATTTCCAAGTTTTTGAATTGGCGTAAAAGAATTTGAACTTTTTTACTTTGTTTGCGCACAAAACTTGGTTTTGGGACAGTTTTTGACACAAGGAATTCTCTGCACTTTCCAATCACAGGGTCTTTTGATTGTAAATCCTGAAGATCATCACTTGTATAACTAGGGAACGTATCAGAATATGAAACATCTGCTGACTCAATATATATCACAGATGATTGAGCTGCCTTTATATCGGTTGGAATGCTGGTTCCTTCGATACAATGATTCAAAATATTAGTGTCCGATGAAAGTCGGGATAAAACATCAGCGTTGGTGTTCTGTTTACCGGGACAATATTTGATTTCAAAGTCGAAGTCTGCTAACTGTGACGCCCACTTTTGTTCGTGTGCTCCGAGTTTTGCTGATGACAAATACTTTAAGGGGTTATTGTCTGTAAACACGACAAATTTATTTCCAAGTAAGTAATCTCGAAATTTTTCAGTCACACTCCACTTAAGTGCAAGAAGTTCCAGTTTCAGACTGCTCATGGTCTTTGATGATTTTTCATTTGGTCTCAGCGAGCGGCTGGCATAAGCAATAACCACAGTTCGTCCATTTTGTATCTGAGATAATACAGCTCTGAGTCCGTGTGCACTGGCGTCAGTTTCCAAAATGAATGGGGATGAAAAGTCTGCATATCCTAGTAACGGTGCTGATGACAACAAACACTTTAATTTATCAAACGAATTTTGACATTCCTTTGACCATTTGTCACCGAAGTTTGTTTTTGGATGTTTAGCGTTCTTCTTGGCGATTTCTAAAAGGGGTTCTGCTATCTGTGAAAAATGTTTTATAAATCGGCGGTAATATCCCGCAAATCCAAGAAATGATTTAACTTCCTTCACATTTTGTGGAACTTTCCAGTTCACAATGCACTTAATTTTATCCTCATCTGTGCTAAATATTCCATTTTCACTTACCACGTGGCCTAGATATTTCACAGAAGGCTTAAAAAATCTACACTTTTTCATTTTCAACTTAAGTCCATGCTGACGTAAGATGGAAAACACTTTGTCTAGATGCTGAACATTTTCACGTATTGATTTTGAAAAAACGATATCATCAAGGAAAACAAGGAGTATTCTGAAAACTTCTTCACGGAAACAGTGTTGCATTAGACGTTGAAATGTTGCAGGTGCATTTGTAAGACCAAATGGCATGCACAAATATTCATACAGTCCAAAAGGGGTAGTAAAAGCTGTTTTCTGTATGTCCTCTTCTGCAATTTCAATTTGATTGTAACCGGAAGTGAGATCTAATGTTGAAAATATAGAAGATCCATATAAAGCGTCGAAGGTTTCTTCCACTCTCGGTAGGGGAAACTTGTCCTTGATTGTTTTCTCATTCAGTCTCCTGTAATCTACGCAAAGTCGTAGAGAGTTGTCTTTCTTTCGGACAAGTACGATTGGCGAAGCGAAAGAACTTGTACTTTCACGAATAACACCGTTATCCAGCAGCTTTCAGATATGTTGTTTTACTTCCTCATATTGGGATGGAGGGATGCGACGGTACTGCTGCGAAACTGGTTTATTATCATTAAGATGAATATGATGTTGAACTGTACTGGTACACCCAATATCGTCGTCGTTTTTAGAAAACACATCACTGTATTTCCAGAAAAGCGAGCTGATCAATGCTTTGTCTTCATCACTACAGTCAAGCTGATAAATATCTTCAGGAAGCTGGAATTTTTCGTCAGGACACGGATCCTTCAGATCTTGACGTTTCTGAACGAATATTTCCTCCACATTGCCAGTATGGTTAAATCCAGTGCCTGAATTTTCACTCTTAATTTCACATTTAGAAACAGTTCCGATCATTGTTCGTGGTTTGATATAAATATCCTCATCACCGATGTTTGCAACTCTAACCCATAGTTTTCCTTTTGTAACAGTATTACAGGTATGCACAGACCGAAAATTACGATGTAAGTGTCCTCCATTGATCAAGGGATCAACAACCACGTCACCATCAATATGAGGTCCCGTGCACTCGACAATAATAGTGGTGTTGGCTGGAATGCGTACAGGTATTGTTCCGTTCACTCGAGCGAATCCATGAATAGACTTGCTATCGAACACACTGTTATCTGTGAACACTTCATTTAAATCTCCCTCAACCGGTATTTTACAGGTAGATAATATATCCTTACACTCACTGATTATGTTCATACCTATAATTCCAGGAACTTTTTCTTTACGCTTTCTCATAGAATCATCACTTGAGTCTTTTACTATAAGTAACCACGTTGTTTGATAGAACTCCCGTGAAATTCAACATCAACTTCAATATATCCAATGTACGGAATTTCTAAACCATTGGCAGCTTTAAGTTGAATAAAATTTGTCTGAATAAGTTCAGTACCACGAGGCTCTATAAATTTGCGGTAAAAACTTTCTGTCATAGTCGATACCATAGATCCAGTATCTATGAAGCATGGAAGGTTTACATCTAAAACACTTATGTTAATCACTGCACATTTCCCAATTACACGTCCAAGAAATGACGAGTCCTGTTTGCTGTTATCTATTAACGGACTCTTTTTAATAGATGTTATATGTTTTCCGACGTTTTGATTGCTGTTTCACGGAGTTTAGATCTGCAATTTCTCTTGATATGGCCAATTTTACCACACTCGTAACACACAGGTGGGGAACGAGAATAGTTCCGGCTTTCTTTTGTTTGTTGACCGGCTCCGCGATCTCTGATCATAGTGGTGAGGGAATCTATTTGCTTTTGTTGCGCTTCGATGATTTTGTATAACTGTTCCATGTTAGGCGAATCAGGTGTATGGGTATTTACATTCTGTTGATCCTCGATCGTGTTTGGCTTGTTTTCTTGAGTAGTTGTTCTATTAACTGTCATTTCCTCTTCTTCACTGAATAATATGATTTCATCTCTGAACGTGTGAAACTCTGTAGGGTTGTTACGCAGTAGTCTCTTTGCTTCCTTTCTCAGAAATGAATCCCTTAAACCATTCGCAAATTTTTCACACAAAGTAAGTTGTTTCTTTGGAAATACACTACTATCCTTTCTGAGCACTATTTGGTATAAATCTAATAATGCATACGAGAAGTGTCTGATTGTTTCTGAATCTTGCTGATTTCTTTCAAAAAAATTCTGTTGTAGTAAGGTTACAGATTCTGGGTTGCCAAATGCCGATCGGAGACAGTCTAATGTGGCATACGGATCCTGTCGAATTTCTGGCCGGAATTTTATTTCTTCCTTAGCTTGGCCCTCTAAGTGAGAATAAATCAAATCAACTTTTTACGAATCTGTGTATGTCCTTGCCGAAAATTTAATTTCAAGGTCATCAATCCAATCATGAATAGAAATGTCAGTTTTTGATTTTGGCCATCCAGAAAATGTCTTTATTTTTCTTGTTTCTGGGATAAAAGTTTGTTTCTCAATAATAGTTTGTGAATGTGAGTTAATTTTCGCTTCTTGTAATTCCATTTCCAGTTCACGAACACGGTGTTGTAATTCTGCTTTCCTCATGATTAAGACACAGGTATATGTAACGGTGATTTGAACAGTACTCACGGTGGAATTCTCTAAGTCAATAGTAAACCGTTGGTCCTTTAACAAACACGTATGAAAAGTACTCACTGTGAAATCTCTCTGTCACAATAATAGTGTCGTACATTTAAATGGCTGATATCGCTGAGTCAAAGTTTGAAAGGAAACTTAGCTGCATTGTCTGCTATCTTTGGAAATTAAATTCCTATGGTGGTCAATGTCTGTAGATGATGTTTTTTCTCGCAGCGCCATGATGTAACCGAGCAGTAAGGATGATATGAAGAAATCTGATGTTGGTAGCCATTTTATTTAATGAAGTTTAAAAAAACATTGACCTATAACAAATATAAAGAATAAATTAGAGAAAAATACAATTTACACTATAGTTTCATAAACTTTGACAATAAGTTACCGTTTAATGCAGCATACAATATATTAGATAGAAAAAAATGTTCTGTAGCAAAATGAACTTTGAACTTACAGACAAATATAAGAAATTACTCAGACAACTTTAACTGCAAAAATACAATAACGTATAAACTTTGCAATTAAAATATAATGTCAAGCTCAAAACTTGTATAGTAAAGTAACAAATAAATAAATATGATAGTTACATACCACAAGATGCAGCCGATATACGCTTGATAGATATCTTCTTTATTAAATGTAATACTGCCCAATTTTGCTTAGTTTGAACGGTTACTTATACTCAAGGTAAATTAAAACTATTGGATAATGTCAAATGAACCAATGAAATTGAAGATAGAAATCGACTCAATCTGATGCGCAAAAGAATTATATTACAAAAAAATTTAAGATTACTTTAGATGAAACGAAAAATAGAATGATCCCAAAACGAATAAATACATAAGAGATAAATATTAAATCTGTACTACCACAAGTAAATCTGGATAAGTTCAACATTAAGGTCTATTCATCACAATCAGTATTCACTATTCAAAACAAATTTGCAGATATTATGTTTGTGCGGAGGCTTAATCTGACAACAGCATCTGACGTATAATTTACACAAGACTAAATTCTCCATGAATTAGGTCTGTTACTAGCAAATAGCAAGAGGTATCTAAACCCAAACTTATATATTTGATGCATCTATGAATCTTTTGTGTGATGCATGCATTGAATATTTCACATGGCCTTCATTAAATCACTTAAGTCACTCAGGTGACCCATTTCTATGCATTTTCATGTGTGTTTTTTTTGTATAATGTATCCTGCATAAATGTTTCACATTTTTGATTAGCTGCAGGTATGAATTCACTGGACTCAAAAAAATTGGAATGGATGAGCCAAGATGTATATAAAATAACTATGGTATCCATTTAAATGTTTTATCATTTTATTCTACTTAAAGCTCACTGAAATGACTTTTGTAGTTATAGAGAAGCCCAAAGTTGTCTACTCTTCAGCCCCTGTCATCAACAAGCCAGAGAAAAAGAAGAAGAAAAAGAAAGATAACTCTGAAGAAGGAGGTTCTCAGGGGGAAACTGGAAACCAAAATAAAACAGGACCTCCAGGGGGTAATGTTCCAACAGTGACTCCTGTCCCACAACCTGAGGTTGTGACACATGTACCGGTAAGTAATAAGTACAAGGCAGGATGAAATGCATGATGTGTATATTACAAATGGACATTCACATATACATGCAAGTAAGAAAGAAATAGATGCATGTATATGTGAATGTAAACTATAAGTAATTGATAGATACATGTACATATAAAAATGAGTATATTTGTAAGTTGTGAATATAGGCTTGCTAGGAAAGGTGCATTTAAGTAAGATTAAGGTACTTTAAGTACTGAGATGGAGATGTACATGCATATAAACAATAAAAAATAAGGAAAGATGAAATTCAATCTAAGGAATAAAGTTGTCTTTGTTTGGTAGGAACCTGAACCTGTGGTGGAGGTAGTTCCAAAAAAGGAGAAAAAAGAAAAGAAACCTAAGAAGATAATCCGGACAGCCGCAGGGGAGACTTGGGAGGATCAGTCTCTAGAGGAATGGGAGAAAGGTACGAGACTTGTCAATTTCATTTAAAGAATCAATTTTATATATTTTTTAAATGAAAACTATGAATACTCATTATATATGCATGTACGAGGGTTGTTTGGAAAGTTTGTGGACTAGCGTCATAACTTTTTTACTTAACATCATATTATATCCAAATTTTGGAGAAATATTTCAACAGTAAATTCAAATGATGTGTATTAACAATTTTTAAAATATCTTGATTTATTTCAAACTTATCTAGACTTTAAAAATGCAAAAATCAGATCACGGAGCAGGTCAAAATTTTGCAATTTACAATCAAGACACTAAATAATGTCTGAAGTCATATCTTCTGTAAAATGATACAAAAACGGAAAAATTCTACACGCTCATATTAAGAGTTGTTTCATCATTTCTGATTCCAAATTATGACTTAATATTTTGACTCGTTGAAAAGAAATCAGTTTTAGAAGATAGGTAGTCCTCATTGAAAAAGTGCAAAAAGATAACGTCGTAGAACGTCACGGAGCAGCAGTTAACCATACAATTTGGTGTTGTACCCTGGAAAACTCCAGAAAAAAATCTGAAAATGCCAGAGGAAGTAGGAAATGTGTCAAAAGCGAGCCACGCATGTGTGTGTACATAGTACAAGGGGTATTTGAATAATAAACTACTCTGCTTAGATGATGGTAATATCTGAGAAAACGGGTTATCTGTAAAAATCTTATCAAAAACATTGAAAAGTTAGTAATGTCATGCTAAGAGTTTGTCTCTTCACAGATGCTGATCTTACAAAACAAAATTAGACTGGAAACCAACACCTTAAGGTTGAAATTATGGAAGATTCTCACGAGTGGATACCACGTGGTATTCAATAGGGTCTGGATCAAAAGTAGTAAACTTAACGGAACAAACAGATCTCCAACACTTCGTGAGAATGCATAAGTGAATTTATTTAGTTGACTGGTTTCGACCAGAGATGGTCGTCATCAGGGTTCTGATGACGACCGTCTCTGGTCGAAACCGGTCAACTAAATAAATTCACTTATGCATTCTCACGAAGTGTTGGAGATCTGTTTGTTCCGTTAAGATGCTGATCTTGTAAAAGCACACTTACGCAGTGAAAAAAATATAACATTGACAAACAAAATAATGCTACTGGAACAATTGTTAGCAAAATAGATTTCAAGTGACAGAGAAGCGTTTTTAATGAGTGCGCTGGTGTTGAGCAATACTGTGTGAAATGTATAGGGATAGTATTTTTGAGAACCTCATGTCGGTATGTTTTTGACGTTACAGTGTTGTTGAGTTTGCTCCTGGGTACAAAACATGTTGATTTTAAAATTAAATAACATGAATTCTTTAAAATCACATGGAATGAAACTTCACACTTAAACAAAAATAATATTTTTACATATGATAATGTGCTCATTTTAGATTTCTTGAAGATAGTATACGGTAATAAAGATTGGCATAGTCCACGAACTTTCCTAAGAACCCTCGTGTATGTATATGAAAAATTATGCTGAAGTCAATCACACAGTAGGCTAAGCCTGTTTAAACAAATTTTACAATCAAAATCACATACATGTATCTGTTTTGAAGTTTAAAAAAGATATGGCCAATAAATAGCAAAAGGAAAAAAAAAATTTTTGGATTAATTTTTACTGAAATCTATATATTTCATTGTTAATATAGGGTATCTTAGGGTATACCCGGGTATATAGATGTATTTATCTGTATGATGATTTTTAAACCAGAATGTTTGTTTTATGTTTGCAGATGACTTTAGGATATTTTGTGGGGATTTAGGAAATGAAGTGACAGATGAGGTTTTAGCCCGTGCTTTCAGTAGATACCCCTCATTTTTAAAGTCCAAAGTTGTGCGAGACAAGAGAACCAACAAAACAAAAGGCTACGGCTTCGTCAGCTTTAAAGATCCTAATGATTTTGTACAAGCCATGAGAGAAATGAATGGTAGGTCCAATTATTTTTTTAATAATGTTATAATTTATAGAAGTGAGTTACTTATGGAAATATGTAAACTATCTGCATTTTATGGCATATAAAGCTCCAAATTTTGCTGATGCTTCACAGTAAGTAATAAAGTAAATGGTTTATTATAGTGACATGTGTTATGTACAATTACAACAACAAATATACATATAATAGGAATTTAAACACCTGGCCCATATGTCACTCTTAACAATATACCCCCCCCCCCCCATTCCTCAATACACAATATAGGAGTAAATAATTTTCATAAATGTCAGTTTTCGTTTACTATGCTTAACTTGATTCAATGAAGGTAGATGATCTTAAAATTTATGATCCAACAAAAATTTTACACATGAAAAAAGTAATATTTATATGAAAAAAACAAAGTTTTTAGAAGAGTAAGCTTATGTTGTTCAAGCTTTTTATTCTTCATTTGTACTTTAGACTGCATGATTAAGTTGGCAAAAATTTTCAAATTGTTTGTGAAAACTTAGAAACTGATCTGACAAGATGCCTGTTAGGTATTGTCAAATAATTAAAAATAGAGAATATATCTGCGTTGTTGTTAACTTTTATGCAAACAAAAACAATCTGATTAAAGTTACTTTGTATTTTTACCAAGATAATTATTAATTTATCATATACCATCAACAACTTGCTTTTTCTGGAAATCATAAGCCTACTCTGTGTGTGTGCTATCATTTACGCATGCCATTTTACCTCCCATTATGTGGCCTATCCAATAGTGGATTGATCATGGCTAAGACAAACATGTTTACGTTTTCAACTATTACAGTCACTAATTAAAAATAAATGTTTTGACTTAATCCTGTTGATTCCTGGGGGAGCATAAAGTCGCTCCATCTTTGTAGAGGGCTCAGATATTCCACGTCCATAACCTCGTGTTATATAGCCTTAATCAACAGAAAAGTAGTTGGTAAACTGGCTTCCTGATGGCTTTCACCCGCACGTCATGAGCTCCACTTGAGAGCCATCTTCCAGGTCCAGATCTTGTACTTGTTGTGGTATTAATTTATATTGTTTCTGTAGTGCTAGCTAGGACTCTTTATGGGATGCAGTTGGTAGTACAACCTCTTACCCTCCTTGACCTGAGCTTAGGACCAGCAAGACCTTCCTTGGAGAAAAAAATAAATGTAGTTGAAAACAAAATTTCATTTTTTTCCTTCTGTCTGGTAATTTTTTTTTATTTGGTAGTTTGATGATCTACAGGACATAATGTCTGGTAGTTTTTACACTCTTTCACGAACTCTGTTGTGGCATTGCACTTGGAGGTACATGTATCTAAAAGCACTTTACTAAGATGTTGTTTGTTCCTATCATTGACGTACAATGAAAAAACAAAAGGATTATTTAGCTTAACTTAAATTTATTGAAAGGTCTGTGAAATATTTGATGGTTTGAATTTTCATGGATTCAGTAAACACTGAATTGTCACTTACAAAAAAATTATGTAAACTAGATAATATATTATATAAGTGTTTGATTTCATTTATCAATGAAATTTTAATTACCAATGAAATTGTCCCAAAATGTCATTTCTTAAGCAGCATTTATAAATTAGACATGAAAAGATCCTTTGAAATGTATTTAGGTTGCAAGTTGAGGATTCATTTCAAATGTTAGGTGGCACTTTACTACAAATTTTTACTACCAGCTTGTTCTGAAAGAGTTAAATTCATAACCTTTTCAATCTTTAAGACTAAAATAAAATATTTCAGTAGTTCTACTGAAGTCTCTGAATTAGCCCAGGGATAAAGACTGCAGAACTAAAAATATACTGCTTTGGGGGGAAAAGTCTTTAAAAAGGCATTTCTTTATTTCATTCTGACAGAAATAAATTTTAAGAGAATACAGAGAAAACATTATTCAGCAAATATTTGGTTTATTATATCATCAAAGATGAATTTAATATTCTCAGACATAATCAAGTTAATGTCAAATCTGCTTACTGGTAATTTTTGGTAACCAATGATATCTGTTATTAGTGTATTAAGTTCATATAATTGTATAAATATTCTCTACTTGGAAATTCCAATGAAAATGTTTTCTCCAAAGTTCACCAGTTTACATCAGAAATAAACACACAATTTGCTTTAAAGTTTCAATTTTATTTAATTTTTCATTATTGACATCAAATTATATCCATTGCTGAATGAAAATTTCCATTAAACACGAAGTTCAGTTAAAAGTAAAAATGCAAGATACTATATTTGATTCACAAATTATAAAAATTGCTGTTGACTAAGGCTTTTTTATTTAAAAAAGAAACACTTCAGTGTGTAAAGAAAATTCACGTAAACTAAAGAATTTTTAGCATTTTAAATGATGCCACATTTTGCCAGCATCTGTTCAATTATAATCAAAGTAATGCAGAGGCTTCATACCTCTAATATGATTCTCATCTTGGGATTACAAGCTTCTAGCTGGTAAATTGTAACCTTAATTTTTACCAAAATTGTGAATTCATACTCTCAGAGATTATGCTTCTATATATTAATTAGCATTACATATTAGAAAAATCTTGTTCTTAACTCATGCAGGGACATTTAGCAGGCAAACTGTTAACAGGATTGTAATAGAAATTTAGACTTCTACCAAAGATGTGAAGATTGTAGCCCCATGCCCATGGCTTAGGCCCCACTTCTTAGGCCCCAAAGTGGGGCCAAGTTGGTTATGTATATAGAAACTCAGTACATCTTTGAAATTTTTTTTTTCAAGGGACAAATATTGGGCAAACTTATTATGATGAATGAAAAACCCTTTTCTTTATTTATAAAAATTCATGTCCCTGGGTCTTGAGTTCTGGCTCTAGTTGGGGCCAAGTTGGTCATTTATTGAAAATTTTCTTTATATATGGACATCTAAAAGACAAACTGTTAATTAACATGATTAAGAAATAAGAAATATATAACCTTCTACCAATTGAAAAAGGGCAAGGTTCACTAAGGGTCTTTTTTGGCCCTGTGAATTTCTGAAAAATCAAAACTGCTCAATTTTAGTTGCCAATGCATCAAATATAACTTGAACCCTTGGAGACTGCATACCAATTGAAAATGACCCAATTTTCTTGCTGGCCAATGCTTATGACATTGTGAATTATGTCAATATACCCATATACTGAAAATTCATTCAAAATTTGTTAAAAAAAATTAAGCTTTTTTTTTTATACAGCACAATCTCTTTTTCAAAATGTGCAGGTACATAATAATAGAACTGTTTCTGAAGATTATAAAACATTTTTATTTTTTGGATTGAAGCATGTGCTCAAATTCTGATTTTTGGCTCAGATACTTAAATACTATTTTCTGCAAAATACAAAAACATTGCATTTTCACAAAACCTGTATTCCAGTACCTGGACTCTTAAAGGAAACTGTTACAGGAAATGGAAGCACCAAGTCTCTACATTATATTGATGTTTGAAATGGGACAGAGAATATTAGTTAATTTATTAGGATATGGACAGGGTCATTTTATGCATAAATTGAACCTAGCTCTTTATCTCCCCCAGATCCCATGGTGGTACAAGGTTTGTTATACAGTTGAACTTGGGTATCTTGGACACGGATATCTCAAATACCATGGATATGTCGAAGTGATTGGAAAGTTCTAACCACATATTTCTTAAGTATTTCACCCCTGATATCTTGAACCCTCAGATATCTCGAAGTCTTTTCTTGGTCCCATCGAGTTTGAGATAACAAGGTTTGACTGTATATTGAAAAATACAGAAAGACCTGTCTAATCTGACATACCCTGGGGCATGAATTTTGTGCCAGAATAGACAGGTGTTAGATTGCACAAAGACCAAAAAAAGTATAGTGGGAGTAAAAAATAAAGTCAAAATTGAAGATGAAACAAATTGAATTGTACAGGTGTTGGATTAGACAGTTTTTACAGTATACATGTATCACAACTCTTCTTTTGTAAAAGACATGTAACAGTACCCAATATTTTTATACCCCCTGCAAATGAACTTTAGGGGGGATAACCTTTTGATGACCTCTATGTATGTAGTTATTAAAATCAATATTGACCTCAAACCTGCAAGTATCATTTTAGGTTGTTTTTTACAATCTACCCACTATTTTTTTTGTTATCCCTGCAAACAAAGTTCAGGGGGAAATATTGGAATCAGTGTGTCTGTGCGTCTGTCTGTAGACATGAATTTGTCAGGACATTTTCTTCGAGACTACTGCATAGATTTGTCAGAAAAAATTTGAACACTCATTATTCACCATATGAAGATGTGCACCTGGTATTTTCATCATGATTGGGTAATATTTCTTCATTTTACAGGTCTTTTTTTTTTTTTTTTTTATAGACTCAGTTATTTTGGGTTCATTTAGATTTGAGACATACAGCTTAAAACCAGTGTCATTAACACTTAAAAAATCGCCAAGTTTAAAAAAAGATTTAAGGTGGATATTCCGTACAAACATAAGAGTTATGCATTAATCTTTTTAGAAAACATTTACATCAATATAACACAGATTTTTCATTTAAACAACCTTATAACAAATTTTAAAAAATTTTTGTTTTTAACAGTAAAGACATAAATATGCAATTATATTGTACCACAAAATGCAGACTTAAAGTGCATCACACAGCAGATAGTTTAAATCCATTCATCCCTTAGGAGTAATGAGTGGTCATGCATCCACTTAAAGATTAATTTATGAATTCAATTTAGGAAGGGTAGCTATCCTTATCATTTCTGTTAGAGCATCTCTGATCAAGCAGGTGTTATCTATTATATCTTTTGGGAATTGGGCAGAAGAACTGACTCCCTCTTACTTGCAATTTATAGCATTTGTCAAATTAAAATACAATGAAATGGATGGCCAGCCTTTTTATTTTCAAAATTAATTTAGTGCCATGTCTTACTAATATGGTAATTGCAATGCACTCAGTTTTACAATCTAATAAAAAAAACCAATATTTTGATTTTCGCCTATGACATTGCTCTTCCATGGCATTCAACATTTGTGAGGTCAAAATAAAATGCATACTTTAACCTTTTGACCCCCTGCCTGTGTTGTGGTGTTCTGAATGCTGTAGCTCTCCTCACACTTAATAAGCAAAATACACGTGGAATGTAAATATTTAATCATTATTTTTTTATGAAAGATATAGTCTCATAACTTCAACGGTGTGTGCAAACAAACTGAGTAACGCACGTTAGCACATTATGAAAATTTGTTTGCACACACCGTTCCAGGTATGAGACTACATGTATATCTTTCAAAAAAATAATGATTCAATGCTTATCTTTACATTTTTATATCCTTATCTTGACTGCAAATGTTTTAGATTTCAAAATCCCTGTATAATCCTTCAGGTAAGTTCTAATTAATGGAAGAGCCATTGCGTTGCAACAGCTTCTATTCAATGTGAGCGTGAATTTTAATTTTCGCTTATGACGTTGCACTTGCACAGTGCTCAACGTTTGTGACATCAAAATAAAATGCATACTTTAACCTTTCGACCCCCCATTTGTGTTATTTATGTTGGCCCAAGTCAATGCCGTCATTTTCCACACACTTATAAGCAAAATAAATCTGGAATGTTAATATGATGCTTTATTAAGCATTACTGGCTGAGTTGATCATTCAATAAATTTTAATTAAAATTCAATTAATTTTTACTTTCAGTGTCAACAAATTTTAAACACCTTTAGATCCACAAAATACTTTTAGTGATTTGGTACTTTTCTGAAAACCCCAGCATGGGGTATTTGTCCATTCTGGACAATTCTAGTTCATTTTCATATTAAAAACAATTCTAAATTTAGCTTTGACCATGCCTTGACCTTTGATTTTTAAGAAATGATTAAGTGATGTGCATACAAGGAAGCTTAGGGAATTATGTCAATTCATAACGAACTTCTCCTACACCGTTATTATATTAACCATATTTAGGATGTAATTTGGAAAAAGCTGGGCTGATGAAGCTTTTCTTGGTGACAGAAGGCAGAAAATAACACTAAAATCAATGATCGTTATTTCTTTTCATCTTTTGGTTTATATTTGAAATTCTTCACATTTGTAAACCTCTTCTCTGTTTTTTTCCTCTTAAAATAAACAGTAGCTTGGATAAAATAAAGATGACAAGTTGTATGAGCAGTTTTATTGCATTTGAATTGAACAATTCTCGAAATTCGTTGTTCTCCCTCGAAAGAGTTGTTCCTTCCAAAGAAAGGGATCACAGATTTCATTAAACCTCCACCAAATCTGGCTGTCGTTGTCTCTGTGATGACACCACACGGTGTAGAGAGTTAATACGACTACCTGTGTAAAAGAATGGTAGACATTATTTTTAACCAAAGCAATGCAGCCATCTTCATGTTAATAACTTACAAGAAGAATCATTGAAGTCCAATTATTGTCTTGGTATTAATTTTATTGCGCAGTATTTGATGTATAAAAAAAAATTCTCTCTATCTCTCTCTATATATATACTGTAGAATCATTTTAATTAGGAAGGGGGGGGGTGTTCAATGTTCTTGGCCAACCAAAATGTTATCGGTTGGTGGAGAAGTAACTGCATGGAAACTAATATATACAAAAGATTCAATTAACGAATACATTGATAATTTTTTACATTTGTGGGGATGTAAATTTAGGAGTACGGGTGACCCTTAAAATCCACAAACATTGCTACTCCATGAACAATATTATTTAATCAATTTCCTCAGAGCTTGGAATTGTTATAACATGTACTAGTACTAGAAGTACCAGCTATATAATATTGCATATATAGATATGACTGCAGTTAAATTATTCTTCATTTGAATGTGTCTTTATATAAGTACTGCATGTAGTTGAGTGTAACATTGAAAATTTTCACCCCAAGAAAACCATTGTCAACCGAGGCACAGCCGAGGGGTGAAAATTTTCAATGTTACACTCAACTACATGCAATATTTATTATATTATACTGAATGTTTTATACAAATACATATAAGAGTGAACCGTGCGAGCATAAATTCTGCGCAGTCACTATTTTTTGGAATATCACCTGTTGTCAAGCAGTGTTGACTGTTGCTACACTGGAGGGTGTGGCTTCATCATTCAGCGGGTAATAGTATTTTTCAACAAATGTTTCTCGATGAATCAGATTCAACTAATTTACATGAAAGTATAATATAAAAGGATGATACCTGATCCACTCTTGAGTCGGGGGTATGAAAGGAAGGGGTTTCTAAGGTATGGAATGTCTGTGAACCATGATGTTCTTTTCTTTGTGTCATCTCTTCGTTTTCCAATTGGCTTCCATGATGAACCTAGAGAATAATGATAGTGTTGTGGTAATGAAAGTTTGATGAGTACAAATTTAGGTATGAAGAAAAAACAAGTATAAGCTTATGTGTGGTAATGCTATTGTTTTAGATCATAATTGTCATATCTGTAGAGCAGTACATATTAGCTCTGTTTCCTCTTTGCATCCATTTTTAGAAATCTTATTGTTTTGCAAACATGCAGATCATCCCCCACAAATTTAAAATTACGCAAAAGACACCACAGGTGCAATAATCTTAATGTCTTTAATTAACAAACATGTTAGTTGATAATTATGAAGAATATGGGGAAGATGTGGATATTGTGTGACAATATGACATAATAAGAATAAAAGAATATGTTACAAAGTGACTTTCCTTAAAAATATTGATGATTTTATTTCAAAAGATGTAACATTGTAGTATTTCTAGTTTGAGAGGAAGATTACTAGTAATTTGCATTATTTAAAAGATGGAAAATTATTCATTAAAAAGTTGCATATACTAATTTTAAATTAAATTTTTTCTTGAATTTTATTAAATTGCACATCCCTTTGATTCAAGTCTGTGCTAGACCTCAGAGTCTAGTTTAGAAAGTTCCCTTATTTACGATTATCCTCAGTAATTTTAATCTTTGGCTTTACAATAATTGTTGAGCATCTGTTTCTGAAAAGCAATGTGAACAATTTTTGCATGGCATGATGTTTTTGCATGAATCCTTCGAAAACAGGCAAAGTATCTTGTCTTGGGTGAATGCTTCTTTCCAAAATTTCTGGAGCAGGACTGTCCTAAAAGAATCTTAATGAATGAATCAGTGAAAATGCACCCTAAATTTGACAAAAACTAGTGTCCTGCTAAGTTTTTGTTAGTCAGTTAAATTAAAAGAAACCTTCCATCTTGGGAAATAATTACAAATATATATACATGTACATGTATTGACATCAAAGCAATGGATTGACATGAGAGTTTTTGTCATCTCCGATATCATTTTTATTTTCCCCTGATCTCCAGAGTGTTGTATAGACCTTAGACTACCCTTTCACTTTTCATGAGGCATAAAAAGATATGCGAATTCCTTGTCATATCAGAGTCAAAACTAACACACCCACCCACCCATGCACCCCCAAATATTTTAGAATATACAAAATAAATTACAAAACATTTCTTCTTATTAAGTGAATATCTGAAAGTTACTGTTTTCAGTATAAATTATATGTACTATAGCATAACTTTTAAAAAGAATTTGGGAAACTACAATCACATAAATGAATTTTGATTGTTTTCAGAGCAAGCAGACTAAAATTTATATTTCTAGAAAGGCTTGGCTCTTGACAGCATTCTGTATGCAAACATTACTACACATATCACTGTTTCCGTGAACAAAGGTGTGCAGGAAAACATCTCTGTGTATGTCAGTCAGTCTGTTTGTCTGTAGTCTAGATTTGTATCTGTAGATACAAATTTAGGTTACTAAATTTGTGCATCTTTGGGTACCAATGAGATACATGTTATTACATGTATTGCATCCCCCCAACTGTAGTTACTAATGAGAGTAATAATAGTTACTAATAATAGTTACATTTTCTGAAATCAAAACAGTGATAGACCATTAAGATTAACCATGTGATCTACTGTATGAATATAATTAATAAATCCATATGAGATTATAAATATAACATCTACAATTGTGTGATTTTTTATTTGCTTTATCCAACTTGTTAAAAGTATATTCGCTTAACAAGCCCTCAGAATATGTATTGAACAATTTCAGCTTGTTGGATAAGGCATATTTCAACTGGAACAATGAGATATAAACCCTTAAACTGGACATCTGTTTGTCGATTGCCCCCCTCCCCCTTTTTTTTTTTTTTTGCTTTCAATTATAGCATCTTTTAAATTTGGTCAGTTTTGATTTGACAGATTTTATAGAAACCAGATATTTTACTAACCATAAACTAAAATGCAATTACTTGCTGCAAATTTTATATTCCTAAAATTTTTTTTTAAGATAGTGACATACCCATATAATTTACTTGAAGAAAGTTTTTAAAATGTTTTAAGAATAAGGTACATTATTTTATTTTATTTTATTTTTTGCTTTCTAAGAGATCTTTCATTTTAAATAAGATGAACTTTTGATGCCCCAGACCCCATACTGTGTGGGAAACAAAAGTCATTCATGCCAAAGAAAGTTAAATCTATAACACTGAAGAATTCGCTAATTGATATCTTTGATTTTCTGTGTAATTAATGTTTCAAGCCATAGCTCTTTCTGCGCGTGTCAAAAGAGACAAACGACCCGATGAAGCTATGAATTGAAAATCATTTTATCCCTACCCTAAATATTACTAATTAGCAGAGAGACGTACAATAATGATAATCATATTGAAATGGGGGGAAATTCTCGTAAGACTAATCACTTTTAGATGACTTTTGGTTGTAAAGGACCAAAGAGAGTCGGAGGCTATTATTTACACTCCTCTTTCTGATCCTGTAAATAGCTGAAATGTACGTTTTTTGCCCGTAGAGCTATGTCGGCAATGTTTTTAAACATTCATATTTCGTAGGAAAAAAACCTGCAGAATTTTGATTGATGACTACCCATTAATTCTCCATTGATAATTCACACGACTCTGTGAAACTATTCTCCAATTTTCTCAAGAATTTTGAAAGTTTACATTTATCAAGAAGTGTCGTCTGCTCCAGGCCGTCATTAGGGTTGGCGCGTAATAGTCAAGTGAGCCCATTGAACGTTTCGTAATAGCTCACCGACCCTTGTCTTTGGCAGGAAGTTAAATTTCATTATGATTTATCTCGTATTTACTCTGCTCAACTATAACACTCCTAATGCGAAAAAAGGAAAATAGGAAATCGTGCTCTTCCTAATACCCCAATTCTCAAATGTTTTAAGCGTCCCCCGAATCAGAGTTATTTCATACCCCCTCCCTCTCTCTGTGAATGATATCTTGAATGTTTTTTGTAAGATGGTCATTTTGGTGGAAAAACATTGAGGGAAATTACGTTTTCCGCCATGTATGGATGTTAAGATATTACGTTCTTTGTTCATTACCATCCCTATGTCCTCGGAGTTGAACTAAATATGCAACTTATCCTGGTTATCCCCAAGCGAGCCATACATCTCTATCTAGTTAGGAAGCAAATAAGGACTTTGCCATTGCTTACGAGATGCGATAAATGAGCGAATTTTAAATCACAAATTTGTAGGAAACCATTAGACGTTTCATTGTAACGGTCGAAACATATGCAGTGTTGCAGGTGTACATTTTATGAAATTTAATTGCATATAGGCAGTAGTAATTTAAAATATTAGTATGCGAGGAAGGTAAATCATAACGCATCGTAGTAACTGAAATACGAGTGCACGAGTAAGGCAAATGTTACAGCTTTACTATGAATGTCACTAAATCTTATATGTCTAATTAAAAAATACGCTTTCGGTTGATTCCATTAAGCAGTTACTAAAGCTGATTGGTATAAAATTAGCTTACATTCTCAAAATACCCACCTGACGTAAACATGTAACTTGGAGTCTTGTGAACATTTCTAGTGATTTTTCGGGTAGGGGGCTGTGGAATCGGTCTGTAACTATGGTAACTGGTGCACCCTGCGCCCCACCCCTGGCACGGTGCAAACACACCCTGTCTTTTGTCACAGAAAATAACAGCTATCAAAAGGCCGAGTAAAACCAGTTGGAAAGTGGACATTATACAGGGGTGTTTCTGGAAAGAAATAAAACGGTTTTCATTAATCCATAGTTTTACTGAAAAGAAAAAAAATAATTCATGTATTCTTTGAACAAATTGAAACAACTTTTCCCTGTTTGATTTTTATGTATACAGTAATATCGCTTACCATGTCCTTGACCTGCTTTATGAATTTCTTCATTTTTTTTTTTTTTAGGATCTTTGATTTTAATGCTATGTTCTCTGTAACTGTATATAATTTCGCTACTGTTTGATTACTGTTGCTCATTTTGTTGATGTGCTTCAGTAACTAATTACCTGGCTCTAGCATTTGCAGAATGACATGTAATACTTTTGAAGATTTGTAGTCAGTATAGAGGATATTTGAATATGAAAAGTTGATTTAAAAAAAAAGAAAAACATTTTCACGAAAGCGATCAAAACACGAGTGCAATTTAAAAATCCTAGCTCAAGAGTGAAATAAATTTCTTATCTAACTATGAAACATTGATTCTGTTCAATTTTGTTGGTTTTACCTTTGACCATATTCCGGTTGTTATTTTCACAGTGTGAAAAAAGTGCGTGTTTGAAATGTTAATTTCATTTGATGGAGAAATTGCATTATTTCACCGTCGAAAGTGTAATAGCTTGCCTAACATCCAAATGAGATTTTTTTACTCATATTACATATGTAAGACGTCGCGAGCTAAGATGACGTGAGAAGATGCAAGGTGTGCATTCAGTAATTAGGTGGTTTAATATTTGAAGATGTCACTTCACGTGTGATAGACAAAATGACATATAATACTTTTGAGGATTTGTAGTATATATAGCCTTATATTCCAATGATATATTGTTTTTACTCACATTAAGACGTCACCAGCTGAACGTGAAGTGTCATATGCAGGTGGTTTTTTTTTCTAATATTAGGTAAATTTACCGACAGATATCACTGCGAATGTGTGATAAACAACGTACTTGTAATAATTTGTAGGTTTTATAGTACATGTACATATATAGCCTAATATCCTTGAGATTTTTTTCCACAATGTGCCGACTTCGCCAGCTATAGGTGAAGTGATTGGTGCTACTTCAGGGAAGTTATTTTATATGGTGCCAACACCTAAACCTCGGTTTTTAAGGTCGCATGACCTGTTACGAAAAAGTCACTACCCATGTTCAAGCCCTAGGTCATACCCGACCGAAATTGACGCAAGCGATTAAGACATCATGACGTGTATACACTAAATTTGGAGTTAACAGAATCCAAATGCTTCCACAAATTATATATAATTTTTTTGATCTTTCATTACTTTTTGCATGTCATTTTATTTTTATTTTTAGAATCTTCAAGGTTAAATGTTTGTAAGAAACTAAGAATGATTTCTGTTTGAGTAAAATATATCTAGATAACGAACAGTATTCAAGCTCAAAGTCCATTAAACAATACAAATTTTGGAGCAGAGCAAACACGGACCTCTAAAACATCAGAGGTGGGATCAGGTGCCATGGAGGAGTGAGCATCCCCTGCCGACCGGTCACACCCGCCGTGTGCTCCTTGTCATGATCGGGGAATAACGGGAAAATCTGTCGACAATTCGGTGTGTAAATAATAATCCAACGAGTTAAACTGTCACCATTTTCATCATAAAATTAAAATTGTATGCTGAAGGAAACAACCGCTTCAAAAATAAATCATGATATTATCTTTAAGAAATAGTTATTACATATTTCTAATATCTGAGAAGTTAAATACAATTTTTTCTTCAAATTTTAACAACTTTCTCAAAGATATGCAAATCTGACGAAAGAATAAATGGAAGTGAACCATTTTTTTCACTCAAAATTGCTGAAAACGGGATGAATTGCTTTATTACCACCTCAGTATTATCCAGTTTTTTAACCTTTGTTTAAATTTAGTGAAATGTGTCTAACACGTAATTATGAGATCTACTAAAAATAATTTAGATCAACAGAAACTGGAATTGATCAATGGTTTAATTATATGTCATGTTCTTTACTTTTAATTTAACAGGGTGGATGTTAAAAAAAATTCAGATTCCATGTTTTAATTTTTGCATCAGTAAATTCAAAAATGATATTCACATGACCTATAACAATACTTTTGTAGAATATTAGAGGTTGATGAGGATTTTCTAATTAATGTTCAGACCACCATCTGATTTATTTTCGAACTCCACAAATCAGTTATTTAAATTATTGTGCAGCAATAATCGTTTAAGAAATAAAAAAAAATATTGAAAGGTTTGTGCACTGTACTACTTTCTTTACGTGAAAAGCTTGTCAATATCTCAAGGTCACAGTATAATGACCCTGGCGACCGTTAATATCTGGTTTACGAAGTGCCTTATAACTCAGCAAATTCAGTAAATTTCTCAACGCTATTGATATAAAAAAAAACATATTAAAATTGACTGTTGCATCTGATGAAATATTGTATTGCAGAAGCGTTATTTTTGAAACCCCCTACCACCAGTTTTAACTTAAAATCTTGAACTTGCACGGAAAAATGTATAAAAATTCATAAAAACTTTTCTTTCTTTACTTAATTCTATTCTGCAACAGTGCAACAATCAAAGAAAAAGCGGGGGAAAAATCAAAAGCAATAACTTAAATAAATAAATAAATGAAATGGCAATTGAAAATGAATACATTTTATTAAAATGACTTAGTTTATTGATGTAAAAGATTTATATTATTTTATAATACAAATGGTTGAATAAAGTTATAGGCTAAACCTTGATAGGAGTAAGCTGTTACCTTTAGGAGGTAGATCCTGGGTGATGCTATGATCCTACCTTAGTAAATGTATGCGAAGTGTAGCGAAAGTAAAGCCAATATTTATACAGCGTACAGAATAAGTACGTAAGGCGCGCGTATGACATGTCATAATCAATTTCATATCCAATCCTACTTCATTGCAACGTGATTGATTAGTTATATGAAACTCGGGTTTTATAAGAAAAATACTGAAACTATTTAGAACCTTCTTTTACCTTGATTTTGTTTCAAAAGAAACATTAATATTTTGTCGGATTTTTTCTTGTCCTTGAAAAAAAAGAGGCGAAGCATTTTTTTTCCACACGAATAACTTAGTCTGTCATGAACTTGTTTTAATTTTTACCTTTTTATGACGTTTTTGATTACATTTGATGAGTTACAAAATGCTTACAAAATATTTTGTTTATTATTTTACAAGCAAGTATTTGTCCCTCCAAATAATAGAGACGTGCATATTTCAATAAATATTCGCGAGTTTATCCTCTGGCATTCATATACTGTGCAGTGATTATTCTATGCATCATACTTTCATGATAAGTTCACAAAATAACAATTTCCTCTTCTTTTTTTTTTTATTTGGATTCTCCCTGGTTCCTTGTTCTGAACCCTTTGGCAAAGACCTTGTCCAGATATAGTTTTTTTTTTTTTTTTTAATTCTACTCTGATTAAAAAAAGTAAAAGATATTTTAGCACAAATCATATATGCTGTAACACATTTTGGAGCCGAATATTTCCACAACGCGAAGAATAACTTTATTGTTCATAAAAACTCCAGTGGTTCTTCTGCATTTCTTAAGAGTCATTAAACTTTGCTTATTTCTGCATTCTGAATTTTATTAACCTTTTCATACCTCTATGGCAGAAGAATTTGACGTGGTTATTCACACCTTTAATTAAGTAAATTTAAATTGATACAATTTCATCTTGTTTTTTTTTTATACGTACCTACTTACCTGTTGTGGGGAGCATTGAGGTTGAATAACCTAGGAAATTAAATAAGTAGTTGATGTTTCTTGATCAAGCACTCAACACGAGTAAGTGAAAGTCACAAAAGTCCAAAAGATAAATAATAGGCAAATAATTTCAATCTTCGTGAGATTTTTGCAAATTGTGGAGATTTTACTTTAATTTTAGATTAAATAGCAAAGAAAATTTTGTTATTATTGAAATTTAATTTTTCACTTTCAATGTTTGTTGCACTATAGGCATTGCGCTCGCCGTGTTCACCCATCTTTAAAGACACTTTCATAGAATCTTTATTACGTAATGCCATTGTGCACCTACTAGTTCATATTTTTAACGGACAGATATTTGGGCTTTCCCAGAGCAAAAACTGGACTTTGCCATTATAATCATATGGGAGGCGGGGTATCATTTTGTGAGGTCAATGCTCACAGTACCTCTAGTTTTAACCTATTTTTTGGTTAATCCTTTTTATCTCGATCGTGGGCGCAATAGGTCAATAACATAGGTATACCTTTCGCTCTTCACATTTTGCTGGTGATGTCATGATTTGAGTGAAAAATGAAATTAGGTTAGTAACCGCATCAAAATCACTGTTCATTACATAAGACTATGAAGAAAAAATACAACTTAGTTCTGCGATACAGTTTATATATTCGTGGATGGGGATGGAGTAATATATCCATAGGAAACTCTCTCTCTCTCTCTCTCTCTCTCTCTCTCTATATATATATATATATATATATGGCTGCCAGAAGTAACTGGATTAACTGTTTATTTACAAGTTAACACCAATATACCATGTTTATATTGTGTTCTATCCTCCGTCCTCCATGAATGAATGTTGCCTTATTTATTTGAGCTTTTGTAAACAAGTTCAATTTTGGGATTCGTGAAACAATGATAATTCATATTTTGAATAACATGTTATAACAGAGATAAATGCATCTACTTACACCTATATATTCAACAGAGCCCCACTTAACTCTAGAGCCCCTTACTCGGGGGCCATGGATTTCACAATATTGATAGAGGGTCTGTGAAGTATTTTCACGACTGCAAATACACAATATACAGGGACTTTCACAAAAGCGGTACTAGATGGAAATTTACCATTAAACAAATTTATTATGAATTTAATTAAGCATTTTCTCTCAAAAATTCCAAGTTTTCTGTTCGAACACAAATGACCATGTATTGCTATTAATTTCGTTCATCGTCTTGCGTCGTCTGTTGTGTGTAAACTATTCATGTTTTCGACATCTTCGGAATCATTGGTAGTCCTAACCAAACTTTTCCTTAGTGTCTTAAAGCTAAGTTTAGTATCTTTAAGTTAAAGTGTTTCATATTTGTTCGAATGAGGAGCAAGCTCTTTACAAATAGAGGTAATGAAGGAACAGCGAAAATAGTGTGGGGCAATTTAAAAATCGTCTTCTCAGGAACCAAATGACCGGAAATGGTGGAAGCTTCATTATATAGTGAACATTGACAACATCAACTGCTATTTACTTTGTAGAATATTTATAGTGTAACGCATAAAATTATTAAAAGATTTAAACAGGTTTTATTTTTAAAAAATATTAAAGATGGCACATTTTAACACTGCCAATGAGTCTAGAGTCATTGAGAAAAAGAAGTACGATTAACTTGCATGTATTTTCTTAATACTCTGTCTTTCAGTTCTTTTCATGAAACCATGCTGCTTTCCTACCATGCACCATTCATAATTGAATTTACTTTGTTCAAAAGCATCATCTGGAGTGAAAATTGATGAGATAAGCACGAAACTAAGATTTTGTGCGAGGAAAGAAAGTGATTTAAAGTGAGCATTTTTTGTTACAATATTATAAATTCCCGGACGCATTGGACATAATTGCTGTACTTACGTGGGATAAACAGGTGCTAAACAATCACAGAAAAGGTGTGAAGGGGAATTCCATTGTGTTATGATCTTGGTGCGTGTTGATAACGACTCCTGGAAATTTGCTGCAATAAAATAGAGGACAGTGTGAGCACGATTTATTGCTCATTGAGCCTGGTGTCTAGGGTGTAGTAAGGTCTGATATTGCACTTACATGCGATTGTAGCTAACTCAACAAAGTGTGTGAACCCTCCAACGATCCTATTTAAGCTAAGGGTTATGTTGGACTAGTTGTGGGAGGGTCTGGCCGTCTATCAGTTTCATAACATTTATTCTGATCATAAAATTTCTTCAAAGATTCATGGCATTTTACCAACACTTCAGTGCGTAAAGTTTATGTAGATTGTTTGAACTTCTTTAATGAAGAAATGAAAACGTTAATTGTTTCACATCTTCCAAGGAATGCCTCCCAGCATCGCTAGTGTAAATATATATTAATGACTGCTCAAAGTAATTAAGTTTATGCTTGATTTTGTTGTGATGAAAGTCATATGTAATAGGAATAAAAGGTATTCGACCCCACATTAGAGGCAAATATATATATATATATATATATATATATATATATATATATATATATATATATATATATAATGAACAAAGAGCATAAACTTACAAAACAGTCTCATATCTTTATGTTTCGTAAGCTTGTTGTGTTAATTTGAAAGACAATCGTAACATATGCTTTTGTGTAAGCTTCATTGATGAAGAGAACTGGTGTCTTTCAAAAATCCTCAACAGCTCATCTTTTTTTTAAGCATATGAATATTTTTAGGTCACCTCGACGAAGTCAGGGGAACCTATGCTATATTCTCGGCGTCTGTGTCCATGGTTAAAGTGGCTTTGGCACATATGCATTGTTTACAATTTTAAAATTCTATTTGTATTAAAAGATAACTTCAGTCTAATGAATTGGAATTGCATGAATATTTTTAGAATTCAATGACAACGACATTCTTCATAACATTACGTCAAACATCTGTTTTTGTAAACATTTCTGCTCTGAATTTACTGGATTATAATTTTAATACTTTTCATTTATACGCAACAGAATTTCTAGTTTTCTTCAGTAATATGGATAAAGTTTTTGTGAACGTACAAGGGTATGGCGTCCTAAAAATCGTAGTTTAAATCATTTCCAGATAAATGAATGTTTTTAAAAACTTTTTCATTATATTTTGGTGTGAAATGCTATGGCAACATTTTTAAAAAACATGATATTATACTAAAACTTTTAGAAAATATTAATTTCAAATCTGTGGAGCTGATTTATTTCCAAGTAACTCAACATTTTTCAGAAAAATGACCAGGTTGAAATTTATTTTCCAAGTAGCAACCAAAATTGCGTGGATGATGCATCTAAGGATGTGCACTATGAGATTCGGGTGCTGGACTGACCTATATAAACATGTTATTTTCATATGTGAAAAGTTTTTTGATTTTTGAGAATTATCAAGTAACTGTAAGCCCTATGGTGTCCGAACTTGCATGTAGGAATATACACAAACAGACTTGTTTTGGATGCTGAATTTGGACTACATTCTGGGGTTGATTAAATAGTTAAGTTTTTACCAAGTAACGTTGTCCTATCCAGATGAAACTTACATTGATGTTGTGTCTACAGATGCACATTACCAGAAATATCGTTTGGTGCGAGATTTTGCCTTACTTTTAGATATTTTCCGTCGAGTTGAACTTAATTTTTGATTACCTATGTTTCTAAAACGTATGAATATATATATATATACGAGTATATATGTTTGACGATATCATGTTCAGTACACAAAACCCACGGAAAGACAGATATGACGAAATCTGGTATATTATAATCATCATAAAGACATTTGATAATCATATATTTGCAGTTTTTTAATAATAGTTGGGCGAGTTTACGCCATTAAGATTTTTATTTCAAGATTTATAGTAACTAGGTCTGAAATGCTGACCCCCATCAAAGTCGAAAGACTGATTGAATTTACTATGCATAAGAATCCAATCAACAAACAAAAGCAAAATAAAAAAAAAAATATATAATGAACCTGGCAAGAACTAAAACTGAAAGATAGCAAAAGAAAATAAATTTAGTGATAATATTAAAAAAGGATGCATTGCAAAAGGGGAAAATTTCTTTAAAAACAGTAAGTTATGTTTATTTTTAGCTCGCTCAAGTGAGCTTTTCTGATCAAAAGGAGATGGGTGAAGAAGGCGTGCAGAATGCCTATAGCTTCAGATATGTAAAAATCATATTCAATTTGTAAATTTAGTATTTAGAGTATAGTTAAAATTATTGAAATTTATGAAATTATGATAAACTAGAAATATGTCCATAGGACATGAATGCCCCGCCGCGGGTATATTAGTAATGCAACATGAAAATTTGTATAAGTGTATGAAATTTGATGAGAATATTTTGAATAGTTTCTTTAAAATTGAAATTGAAATCTAAAAAAGTTGGATATAAGTGATAAATTCTCACCAAATTATGTTTAAGTGCATAAGCTTACATAAATATATCTTAAATGGTTTCTTTAGAATTAAGCAAAATGCGAATTTAAGAAAAGTGAGGTCAAAGTCACAGGAAAGTTCAAGGTCAAACGTTTTTGATGCAGTTGAATAGTTCTCACAAATACGTATCAGCAACCTAAAGTTTGATAAAAATATTTTGAATGGTTTATTTAAAACTGAGCTAAACACTAATTTAAAATAAATGAAGCTAAGGTCAAGGTCAAAAAATGTTGATGCAGTTGAATAGCTTACATCAGTGTGTATCAACATATGAAGTTTGATTACACTATCTTGAATGGTATCTTAAAACTGAGCTAAACACTAATTTAAGAAAAGTGAGGTCAAGGTCAAAGGAAAGGTCAAGGTAAAAAATGTTGATGCAGTTGCATAGCTCTCATCAATATCTATCAGCATATGAAGTTTCATAAAAATATCTTGGATATTTTTTTGAAACTGAGCTTTGAACAGATCTAAACGCAAAGCGCGACGGAAAGACAGACGGAAGGACGGAAGACGGACATGACAAACACTATATGCCCCGGCCATATTCATGGCGGGGCGTAACAAAACTTTTCTGAGGAAAATTTCTCGTGAAAAATTATTCTGTTATTATTAAAACATGTGGTATTCGTGGGGTTCGAACCTAGCAATAAAAATCCTGAGTATCACTTTCGTTAGAGACTCACGCGCTAACCACTATGCTACATAGCTCCTGATGAATAGTGGCATTTAAATCATGTTTGTGATATGACGATTTACTAAATGGACTTCAAGTATTTACAGAAAGATGCGGATGTTGTGTCATAAAAAGTGTATTTTTAAGGTATAGTGGGTCTTTGCTTCATGTTTGCTCCATGTTTTTGTTAACCTAAAAATGTATATTTTTATGCAAACTTTGAGGATAAACTTTCAATAAAATGGAGCGAAGACCCGCTCATATCGAAAAATAGTGTTATAGTGTTTGTCATGTTTGTCGCACTATAGACATTTCGCACGCCTTGTTCGCCCATCATCTTTCTCCGGTGACCGTCGTCGTCGTTGTAAACTTTTCATATTCTCATCTCTTCCCCAGAACCACTTGGTCATTTCAACCAAACTTGGCACAAAGTATCCTTGGGTAAAGGGGCTTAAGTTTTTTTCCCAAGGGGAAGTGATTAAGAAATGGTGATAATTGGGTGGGGTATTAAAATATCTTCTTAGAAACCACCGGGCCAGAAAAGAATTTTTAGGATGAAACGTATGTGAAAGCTTTCTGACATAAAGTAAAAATGGGTAGGGTGAGGCCACAATGGGCAATCAAGGTTTTACATTGGAATGTAAAGGAAACTCTAAAAATCTTCTTCTCCAAAACAGCAAAGTCATAATTTGTCATACTTATATGGAAACATAGATTCAAGTGCGTTCAAATTATAATACCCCAGGGTTGGATAGGAGCACAACGAGCGATCAAAGTGCTACATAGGAAAATATAGGAAAAAATCTTTAAAAATCTTCTCAAGAATAGTAAAGCCATGATTTGTCATATTCGTGTGGAAGCATCGTCAGGTAGTGTAGATTCAAGTTGTTTGCTCAAATCATGACTCCGGGGGCGAGAAGGGGTCACAGTGGGCAAAGTTTTACATAGGAATATATATATATATATATATATATATATATATATATATATATATATATATATATATATATATATATATATATATATATATATATATATAGGGAAGGTATCTGATGATGAAAAACAGAAGGGTTATTGTGACTTGGATGAGCGTTATGGCCCATGAGCCTCTTGTTAAATTTCATTTTTACCTCAGACTCGCTAATAACTTATTACAATAAAAAGTTATCTGAACAGGGGGTTATTATTTACAAGTATTTTATGCTTTATTTTTCTTGCCTGATTTATTTCATATAATTATTACAATGTACCATAAAGCAAACAATAAATATTTAAGAGACTTTTTGTTTTGTACTGTAATAGATATATTTTGATAGATAAAACGTGATTGTACACATATGTATTTTTCATTTTGTCAGGAAAATATGTGGGTAATCGTCCAATAAAATTAAGGAAGAGTTCATGGAAAGACAGGAATATTGAAATAGTGCGGAAGAAGGAAAAAGAGAAGAAACGTCTGGGACTCCGGTAATAGTGGGCAGCTAGAAGAATTAACGACGAAAGGCCATGCCAAGCAAATTAGCTGTTTTTATTGCTTGTTTTATGACATAATTGAGGACGTTTAGCATTAAAAGAACGTTTAAACCGTTTCAATGGAAATGAGAACTATGAATAAATGTTTTGAATCGTACTATCTGTATGCATGTACATTATTATTATGCCAGACTGTAACTCGCTGAAAAAAAAAAACAACATAAATCGAAAGTGAGAATGACCGTTTAACGATTTTACGTGTTTGGTTTTCTTTTTCATTTCGTGGTTCTATGAATGAAAAAGATTAAAGATTATGTTTATTGATTTGCCAGAAGGGCTAAGAGAAGTGTTTTTTTTTTATGAATTCTATCAAGCCTAAGGCTCTGTTGTTGTCATTTGATGAATTGCAGAATAGAATCTAATACCGAGTACTCATAAAAGATATAGATGTTATATGAAACATTGATGCCAGCATTTCACACTGAAACTTGTAGTACAGACGGTTCATTATTATATATTTCTTTTCTTTTCCTTCCTCTCTCTTTTTTTTTTACCATTTTTATACCCCTGCCTTTAGACGGGCCGTATTATGGTATTAAGTTCACGTCCATCAGTCTGTCTGTAAGTTTTTTTCGTGTCCGGGTCAGAACTGATATACTATGAGGCCTAGAATCCACCAACTTTTTTAGCTGGTATATCTTTGAAAGAAAGTATGTCGCACATCAAAAATAGGTCACTGTGACCTTTAAATGGGATTATATACCCTACTAAGCAAAATACTGGCCAGCTCATAACTGGAACACTATTAGACCTAGAATTATCAAACTTGGTCAGTTAATTCATTTTAAGTAGATGATGTGAAATTCTATGTTAAGATCACTATGACTTAAATTAATTGATATTCGAAAAAGCTTTTTAAGGGGGATAATCCTTACAAATAGAAGAATATTGAATTGTATAAAGGGGGGTAATCCTTACAAATACAAGAGTATTGGAATTCAAAGACTTGGCAAGTACAAGACATAGAGAAATTCCACTTGTTCCATGTAAGTAACGGTCTAAGCCTAGGTGTTTAAGGTGTTCATTTGGACATGCAATGGACGTTTTGATAAGAGTCAAGTAGCATCCGTCAAGCTAAAGAATAATTAATAATTTGAATGTTAGAAGGATGTCCATTTCTTTTAGAGCACCTCTGGTTAAGCAGATTTTATCTACATCTCTTCAGAATTGGGCTGTGGAATTAAAGACAAGACCTTTTAATTGCAATTGATAGAATCTGTCAAATTACGATAGTTCTTGATTGTCAGCATTTTATTTTCAAAATTGACTTGGAAAAAAAAAGTTGTGAAATTTAATTTGATATCTTATATTAAAATAATAATTTATTTCAATTTTCTCCCCAAAATATCTTAACAACCAAATTACGCTAAGATGACAGATGATTGCAGTTAAGTTTTACAGCCTATTAACAAAAAAAAAAGATGGTCAGTATTTTGTTGTTTTATTAGGCGGTGGCATCCTTCATCGTTCATAAAAATACATTGAACAAAACTGCAGATTGGGTATGTGTAACTACAACACAACAATTTGAGAAATATATGATGTACGATTTGTTGTCTTTTGTAACTGATAAATGCACATCAAACATTATGAATAGAAAAAATCTTTGTACTAAGGTTGACATGCTTTTCTTCAATGTATTGGAACATAGATAGATGACATTGAGAAGGAGTGCAGCCCACCAACATTTATAACCTTGACCTATTTATAAGGTCAAGGTCAATCTTTTACATCAAAGAGTTCAGCCCATAACTTGAGATCCCTTTGATATTAGGACTTCAAACTTGTAACATAGGAAGAAGACATTGAGGCAAGGCAAGATGCACTGCATTAGAATTTTGACCTTGACTCCTTTCTGCCTTCAATGTCAAATAGAGAAAAAAACACGATCTGACCATAACTTGAGAACCCTTTGACATTAAAACTTCAAACTTCGAACATGCAGAGATGGTATAAAGGAGGGATGCATGCCTTCAAAATTTTTGACCTTGATTCAATTTTTATAAGGTCAAGGTCTATCTTTTACATCAAAATAGAGTCCAAGCCGTAGCTTGAGTGCCCTTTGATATTACGACTTCAAACTTGTAACATAGAAAGAAGACATTGATACAAGATTGTACACACCAAAAGGAGATGGGTGAACATAGCGTGCAGAAAGCCTATAGCTTCAGATATATAAAAATCATGTTCAGTTTGTGAATTTAGTGTTTAGAGTAAAGTTCTCATTATTGAAATTTATGAAATTTTGATAAACAAAACTTTTCTGAGGAAAATTTTCTCGGCAAAATTTATTCTTTTATTAAAAAAATTAATGTGGTATTCGTGGGTTCGAACCCTAGCAATAAAAATCCTGTCTGAGTGAGTATTATTTTCTTTCGAGACTTGCACGCTAACCACTAGACTACACAAGTCCTGATGAATAATGGCATTTAAATCATGTTTGTGATATGACCCTTGACTTAATGGACTTCAAGTATCTCTCGAAAAGATGCGAATGTTATGTCATAAAAGTATATTTTTAAGGTATAGTGGGCCATTGCTCCATATTTTTGGTAACCAAAAAATGTATATTTTTATGCAAACTTTGAGGATTAACTTTCAAAAAGGTGGAGCGAAGACCCACTCATATCGAAAAATAGTATTATAGTATGAGAAAATGACTCTTTTTGCCTGCTTTAGTGTGTGTCTAATATTTCACAGGCAAATAATTTCAATCTTTGAGGGATTTTTGCAAATTATAGAGATTTTACATAAAGTATATTTTAATGTTAGACGAAATATCAAGGAAAATTTTGATATAATTGAAATTTAATTTTTCATCTTCATGTTTGTCACACTATAGGCCTATAGCTCGTCATGTTCACCCATCTCCTTTTGACCTTGACCCCTTTTCTTCCTCAAGGTCAAATAGGGAAAAAACTTGATTAGACCATAACTTAAGAATCCTTTGTTATAAATACTTCAAAAATGGAACATGCAGAAGTGGTATGAAGAAGGGATACATGCCACCAACATTTTTTTACCTTGATCCAATTATTATAAGGTCAAGGTCAATCTTTTACATCAAAATAGGGTCCAGGTCTTAGCTCGAGTATCCTTTGATATTAGGCTTTCAAACTTGTAACATAGAAAGAAGACATTGTTACAAGATGCAACGCATCAAAATTTGACCTTGACCCCTTTCCTTAAGGTCAAATAGAGAAAACACGACTAGACCATAACTTGAGAACCCTGACATTAAGACTTTAAACTTGGAACATGGAGAGGTGGTATAGAGGAAGGGTGAATGCCAACATTTTTTTCACCTTGACCTATTAATAAAGTCAAGGTCTATTTTTTACATGAAAATATAGTCCAGGTCATAACTTGGGAACTTTTTGACATTAGGATTTCAAACTTGGAACAAGGAAAGACAACATTGAGACTAAATTCACTGCATCAAAATATTTGACCTTGACCACTTTCTTCAAGGTAAAATTAAGAAAAACACAACCAGACCATTAATTGAGATCCGTTTGACATGAAGACTTGAAATTTTGTACACAGAATTTGAGTTGAGATGCACTGCATTATTATTTTTGACCCTGATCATATATTAGCACTCGTTAATGTTGGTAAAGAAGGGGAGACATGTGTTTTTTTTGTAAAAATACCCACTAGTTTGACTTTGTAAAGCATTGACCAGTGCAATCGATATATCGAATGTCTTTCGTAGCTATTTTTTCCTGAAGTGGCAGAGGCATACAGAAGTCATTTTTGTCGCGCTCATGTCTGTCATAATAGTAATAAAAGAGACGTCTGTTCAGGCAACCTCCGTAAGGCGAAATACATTGGATCGTGATCAAAGTTGAGACTGACATAGGTGCTGGAGGAGTATAGTCTAGGGGAGACAAATATGGCAGGCAAAGATAACTCTCTTCCTTCTTCTCGACGAATCGTGTTTAAGTAAAGATAAATTAGTTATTGCCATGCCATAGAAAGATACTTGGTATGTCAAAGCATTGGTATACTTGGTATTCAAAGCATTAAGCATTAAAATTTGTCCGTTCATCGCATCTTTTAAGTTTTTAAAATTCGATATTAAAATTTAGATAGAAATATAAATATATCATTCGTCAGGGCATAAAAATCTAGTCAAGGGTCTTTTTTTATGCCAAGTTCCCTAAAGAGCGAGTACAGACGAATACGTATTTAAAATGTTGATTGAATGTATAATATTTACGTCTCAACATCCATACCAAAACATCATCAGCGGAATTAATGAAAGCATAGTCTCTGCTTAGTCCGACATATCTGACGTTTTCTTTGCTTTTTTTTACGATTTAATATTTTACGTTTTCCTGGCATGTTAAATATCAAAATCGTGAAAAAAAACCCTGAAAAACGTCAGATATTTCGGACTAGCCTCTGCTAAGCATTCTTTAAGATCTCATTCCTGTAAGACTTGTGACTATCACAATTCAATGCGCATCGTTTTGCGAAGTAATATTCACTACTGCATTGGATTCTCTTTCAGTGATTTTCTGCATACGGAATATAGAAAAGTCAGAACTGTTGACATAGTTATTTAACTTTTTTGTAAGGAAAATATTGGTATCATAGAAAAACTTTGTTGTTACCATGAACGATGAATTAATTAGAGCCTTAGGTGCGTCGAACAGAATGAAATGGTCTTAAAAAGATTACATGTAGTTTTAATCAAATTGTTTTTCAACCTTGTCTATTTGCAGGCATGGATAAATTGTTTTAATCCCAACGTAGAAATATTTCATCTATTTGTAGAAGATCTTACAGTGGCGGATATATTTGCTTAAGCCTATCAATGATAACAGCTTTTAGCCCCTTATAGAGGCTTTTTTCTCCCACGCCAAAAGACCGGCTACCATAACTCCGCGGAAATATCAATTAATATGGTGTAAGTTAAGTTAGCTTCTAGATGTATGTATATTAATTTTGTCTTAAGAAGCGGTTTTAAAACGGATGCAATCATAATAACGGAAACATAATAATCACGTGTATGTCCCAACTAGAATCTGAGCTTTTTGATGCTCACCAATGCGCTTGTTAACGTGGAACTGACACGTGTCAGTGTTGGCGTCTCCGCCACCGGATCAGTTTTATTTTTACGACTAGAGTTTATGAGGTAGTAATAAAGGACTTGTATGTTATAAAATCTGTACTTTTCACACGAAGCCATATTTAGGGGAAAACAGCTCATTTCTGATAATTCAACAACGGTTTAGAAAAAAAGCTTTTTCATTTGCCAAACCCACATTGATAAAGGATGATTAGTTAAGTGTAATCGTCAATAAAATATTGAAATCATAGGAAAAACAAAATCACAGGATTAAATAAATTTAACAAGTGGCAAGTTTTATGATTATTTTACGACTGTTTTATTGCCGGGAAAGGAAACTCTGTCTGTGTGATTGCACAGGGTTCTGAATATTTGAACACTGCCCACAGTTGACTCAGCCAATCACAGATAACGCTTACTTTTGAAGTTGTTTGGCGCATTCAGGCTAATCCTTGACATTATACTCTGTAGTTATAGGACTGTTTACGAGTTTACAAAACAATAATTGCTAGAAGCAGATTTATAAATGCTCGTAAAACTGATTATATAGTTTTATACGGACCTTTAGTAAGTCATTAGCACGAAATTTCGACAAAGCAAAAGTGCAGAAAGGTTGGTCAAAACAATGTCCTTTTTAAAATATATTTTTTACGGTGGCGTTCTTTTTAATGTCAGATGCATACATAGATGCATTTTGTTGAGTTTTTGAAGTCATCAATTTTAATGACGTAATTTAATGTTTATTTAATAGGGAAAGAAATTGTAAAATAAATACCTTGTCTTTGGGCTTCAGGGTAAAAGGGGGAGGAAGAAAGAAAGAAAAGGGATGAAGAAAAGGAGTAGGATTGGGGAGAAGAGGGGATAGAAAGGGGGAGAAAAGGGGACAAAGGGAGATAAAGGAGAGCACGAAAGAAAGAAGAAAGTAATCCCTGTCCGCCACTATTGGGGATACACTGCCTAAGGAAATTGAACAAAGATTTTGTAATGTACTTTAAGAAAGATATATGGCCAGTTTATAACAGTAAATTCCTTTGAATAATAAACTGCTTGTTTTTTTCTTTGTATTAATCGCTGAGACGAACCTTAAATGCTCATATAACTTATAAATCATTAAAGTGTCCAGTAAATTATTTTGTTAAAGTTATCTCTCTACGATATTAGGGATTTAATAATAGCTTATAGGTCCCCATCACACTTCTAACAAAACTGGTATTACGGGCTAACACGGTGAACCTGCATTCTCAATTGCATATTTGGCCAACCACTAGATAAATATTTAAATTGTCAGGTCCTTATTCACAAGGGATTGCGCTGATCAGGGTTAATATACTTATTGTAAATTGAGAACCCGTTAATTCCAAAAGAAACCTTAACTTAATCTATCGTAAGACTCTTATAATTTCACAATTAATTCGGTACAGCAATAGACAGAGGCAATTTGACTAACAGCGTTTTCCAAAAGTTTTGAACATTCATACAAAACATGAAAAAGATAATGTTATGCCTACTTCGACACTTTCAAACGGTTCAAATGATATTTTTTAAAACCTTATTTCTGGATCAGTAACTTTTGGATTTTGATTATCTTTCATAGAAAGTCAACGATTAGGGCTATACTTACATATGCATAACTTTCGTGTTACCCTGTACATTTCCAACAAAAATTGATGATCATCCAAAACATGTACTTCTAATAAGGAATTAACATTAATTATTTCTGACGCATGTAATGGTGCATGTTAATCGCAAGTTATGGATGGGATTGTTAAATTTTTAATCACTTTGCAGTAAAATGTGATTTATAGGATAATATTAGGTAAGAAAAGACTGCTTTTTCTAAAACAAAGACGCTTGCTTTGATATAAAAACTTGAACTTAATTTTTATACGATATGAATTTTCATTACTTTAGGCGATGTTAAGTTAATTTTGAAAGTATTTTATTTGATTTCCAGTTGCATTGCCTTGGGTGCATACTTACAGAAGGGTCTTGATGTGATTTTGAACACTTGAGAAGAATGTCAAGCTTGGAAAAAATCGAAGAGTTAGAGCAGTATGAAGAGGATGTCGGTGATGAACCAGTCACAGAGAAAAAGAAAGAGCCTGTCTCCCAGGCAGAGAAGGAGAGTGGTAGGGTAACGGACAGGGATAAGGGGGCTGTTTCCAAAAAACCTCCCGTCAAGAATGACCCAAGTTTGATGATCATCAATGAGCACAAGAAAAACAAAATGGTAGTGGCTGCTATCGACTTTGGAACTGCCTACTCAGGTGAAAATTTTGTTCTTTAGTATATAGCCAGGAATTCGTCTTCTTTTACCCCTTAAAGTTTTTCCTTATATATATAGAAACGAATACACAGTCAGGTTGCAAAAACTTGTAAGCAATTATAGTTCAAAAAGAGGATGGGCAATTTTGGTGATGCCCAATCAAACCAAAATAAATCACAACTTCCTTATATATACAAGTTTGTGACAGTAACATTGCACACAAATGTCCGGACATTTTCTTCACACTTTTCTTCAGGCTTTGCATATTCCTTGAAGAATGACTTTGAAATCAAACCATTACGGATTATGACGAACCACTGGGTTGTTAAAGGAGCAGGAAGCATGTCATTAAAAGCACCCACATCCATACTACTGAATCCGGATCAGAAGTTCCATGCATTCGGTTACGATGCAGATCAACGTTATACTGAATTAGCTCAAAAAGGAATAAACAAGGAGTGGTACTACTTTCAAAAGTTTAAAATGAAATTACAAGGAAATATGGTAAGATTGTCACAAACATTAACAAATATGGTAGTTAATATATACATAAGTTGATACATGTATAAATATAGTACAAAGAGATGTTTAAATATTCTTTTAAATCGTTTTTGTGCAAGTCAGGCATAAATGTTTTTAATCATAAACATTCATACTTGTATGTATGTATACGTCATGTGACTAAAAATCAGCATTCGGAATTTATTGTAACGTCTCTTTGCAACACTTTATATTTGCAAATGTTCCTTTAATGTATTATTTTTGGAAGGATGTCACCAGAAAAAGGATGCTTGAAGACATTGACGGCAAACAGGTGCCCGCCCATACAATTTTCGCTCTGTCGATCAACTTTCTGAAGATGGAGATTTTGAAGTCATTGACGAAGCATTCCGGATACACCATTGAGGACGTTCATTTCATTATCACTATTCCTGCGGTCTGGACGGACGCTGCCAAACAGTTCATGAGAGAAGCCGCTGTAGAGGTATGTTCTGCTTACCTAGTCATGGTAAATTTTGATAACATACCGGTATGTTGATATTTCTTTACTACCGCATATATTTAAATGTAGGTCTTGACTTTTCCCCCCAAGATTCTTAAAAGTATAATATAGTGTTAGGTTTACGTCTAGATTTTGAAGTTGAGGATTTTGATTGTTTCAGGCTGGAATTCCCTGTGAAAACCTTACCTTAGCTTTTGAATCCGAGGTAGCGGCGGTTTACTGCCGAATGCTGCCGAAGAAAAGTCTAGTCGGCTTACGAGGACGGGATCTATTACAGTCATTTAACAAAGGGAGAAAATTCATGGTTCTAGATCTAGGAGGTATGTTCGGAAAACCGCATTATCTTTTAATCTTTGTACATTTTTTCCCCATAAAATCAGTCTTTTTTGTAATGTAATGTTTTAGGTGGTACATGCGACATCTCAGTTATGGAAGTTGTCAATGATGGAAATATTGAACATATCCGGAAAGCAACAGGTGGTGCGTGGGGAGGTGGCAAGGTCAACGAGGAATTTAACGTGTTTCTCAATAAGATTTTTGGCGAAGATGTTGTAAATGAGTGTTGGGCAGAGAATCCGTCGGAGTATTTGGAGATGGTTCGGTCTTTTGAAATCAAGAAACGAAAAGTTTCAAAGGAAACATCTGATGAAATCCCATTCAAAATCCCGGCAGAGCTTCGGATGAAATTAAAACTAAAGACTGGGTTTGAATTAGAGGAGGTGATTCGTGAGACAAAGTACAACGGTAAAGTAATTGTGAAAGGTGATAAAATTTTGATAGACCCAAACATTTTCAGAGAGTTCTTCAAAAAAACAATTGACAGTATTGTCAAACATATGAAGGAAATATTCGAGGAAAACTCCGGCCGTCACATTGCTACAATTCTGATGGTTGGAGGATTCACTGAATCGCCCCTTGTTCGCGATGCCATTCGGGAAGCATTCCCCAACATGATGATTATAACCCCAAAAGAACCAAGTATGGCTGTGCTAAAAGGTGCTGTTCTCTTTGGACAAAACCCAGAGTGCATTTGTTCAAGGATCTGCAAGTGTACTTATGGAATACGAATCGCAAGACCGTTCATTGATGGGATACACAGAGATGAGTATAAGGTGCTGGTGGATGGGAAATATTACTGTAAAAACTTATTTCAAGTATTTTTCTCGGTTGACCAGAAAACAAAAATTGGAGAAACATTTCGGTATCCCATTCATAATTCATATGAAAGTGAAATTCGCCAGGAGCTACGTAAAAAGCCGAAAATTACCGAAATTTATACCAGTAATGACCCTCATCCTCTGTATGTAACTGATTCAAACTGCAGAAAGCACGGGGAGATAGTCATGGAACCCCCAGGAGGAAAGTGGCCTGAGAAGTTTTCTGGATTTGTAGAGATGGAGATAGCTGGAACTGAAATCTTTGGGAGATTTGTCAACAAAGAGAACGGAGAGGTCAACATGATTTATCTAGACTTCCTGTCATGACAAGCGCCGAATCTGAATTTGATGAATTTTCCAAGCAACTATGAATTTCTGGGTTATTGTTTTAGAAGATAAAGACTATCCATGGTTTGATATTCAGCGATTAAGTTTCAGAATGTTCCTTAAGTTCATTGCTACGATTTGTACTGCACTTACGGACACTTTTCCAAATGTTCCTTTCAGTTTTCTCTACATGACGTGCACAAGACTTGGCATTCTATTCTTTAAGTATATCTATCAGTAAATAAATTCGAGCAATAGCTTTTTACAATAGTTCTAAATTTTTTCTTGAGAATCAAAGACTAGAAACAACTGTGAACTGGTGTTCTTTCAATCACAGAATGGCTTTTAATTGTGAGCAGGTGTGTCGTACGTCATTTTATAATATTTTTGAAAGTTACTTTGCTGTAAGTCAGAAGGAGGATAGTAGACCAATTAGATGCAAATTTTAAACAAATATATACAATTGCAAATGTTTTGACAATAATCGTAAACAGCAATATCTCAGTTATATTTTAGAGGTACCAGGAAGTATATTTCACCAATGTTAACTAATCACCGAATGGTTAAACTATCATCACGTCCAAACATTTTTTTTTCTGAAAGCTGTAATAGTGTAAGGATCAGTGGACCTTTACACAAAATGACTTAACGACGAAGACATAAATTGTCCAATTATCTTGAAAGTATCAAAACTATAGTAGGTCACAAAAAATCTTAAATATCGAATCCATGAGAATAAATTGTGAAAACTTCTTAAAGAAGTATTCACAAATTAATATCTCAAAGAAATTACAGAGTTGTAAAATTTTAATCTCAATCAAAAGATTTTTTGTAAAAATGAAAAAGGGTGGATAACGTGCAGTGATAAATCAATAAAATAAAATCTACAAACAATACAAATCTGTGAAACACGGACCCCTGGAAATTCCAGAGGTAGGATCAAGCTCCGGGGCCATAAAACAGACGAGCTCACTTTTAATCTCGGTCTCACTTTTCTACATTCCGTTTGAAGAAGTGAGACTCGACTAAGTTTTATGACCCTGGATCCGGGTGCCTAGGAGGAGTAAGCCTCACCTGTCAACCATTCACACCCGCCGTGAGCCCTATATAATTTATTATGGTCTACAGATACTTTGGTTTTAATTAAGTTTAAAATTAAGGTCCACCACCCCCCCTGTTCCTTCTTGCAATTATTTCGATGCTACCGATTTTCCAAATGAAGTCTGATTTTTAATTAAAAACCAAACAATACCATGCCTTGCGGGGCAAATTTTAACAGAGATGGCATTTGTTGACAATTCTATAAAGAAATATATACAATGTATTTCCCCAAGTGAGAGTTAACTCTCCTATCAAAGGCTTGATGTTCCCCAAACATACTTCAATCAACGACTATGGATCCACAATAAGTAAATTAAACTGTAGCATAGGTTCACTCTAGAAATTAAAAGCACAGACTTCAGCTTTTGTTTTTGGATGTGTTCATTTGTTTGTGAAATATGCCTGGCAACTAAAAGATAGTTTACAATTCAAAACTATTGTTTACAATTATTTTCTCTGATAATCAAGCATACGGTGAGCAATGATCGATAGATATTATATAGTAGGTAATACCTCTTGGCCATAGTTTACGACCTTTCACTTAGTTCACTGCTGTTTGATATGATTCATGATTCCAAGCCATTGTTAAATATAAATATAATGTACGATGAAAAGCTATGATGTTTACAAAACTCTATCTAACGAATATTGTATATAGTTCAATTTTCGAAGTCAGGTGTAATTTATGTTCAGCAACAAAAACCTTAGTTTAAGTCATTTAATTTAGTTTCACATTTAAAAGAAGTATCAAATCACAAAGAGCTAAATCCACGAAGGGGCCAAATCGGCCCAGTCATCAAAATAAATGAAACTTTCTCACATAAAACTCTAAGATTTGTATGTTGTAAAACAATTTATTTTTTAACAATATCTTTTCTGATTTTCTTTTTACTTTCGTTTAAATTTGTTATTGTTTTCCTTATTAATACTATCACGTCATTACGTTGATTACATACTTTAACGTCGTGACGTTGACATTTTGTATAAGAAAGTAACATATGTACGTTAATGGAATAAAAATAACCAATATAGGCTCTTCTTTAAAATTTTGGGGAAATTTTTACTATGAATTTTTCAAGAAGTTCTGAAAACTTTTGGTTTATTTTTTAATTAAAGCTATTTGTACTCTAAAGAAATGCCAGATATGTGTTATATACAACGGTTGTCTGGTATAATCGTTGATACATGTAACACGTTTTAAATGATAAGAGACACGTTAAGCTGCAAAACAAACACAAAGTGTTAATCCATCATATTTGAGTAAAACTGAATTAATGTAGTAAAATATTTACTATAGTAGCCATGGATAAGGATTTTATCATTCTTAAATGTGTTATTGTATGGTCATACGGTGTACAAACAAAAAAATAGACTTTTTTCCCGAAAATACACAAGTACTCTTTAATAACGAAAACATAAAATTAAAATGAAAAGTTGCAATAAAAATGAATACGTTTGAAGTTACCATCTATTTTATTGTCATTTTGAGAATTTCGTTGCACTTCTGAAATTTATGGCATTTCCCGGACATTTGAAATGAAATTGTAGTTCATACATGTAATACACGAAAAAAAGGTGACGTTTGACGGCAATCCTGCGCACCACAGATTGTCAGGAAAGAAGCCACTACAGACTTTTAAACAAGAGCGATGCAAAGCATCGAGTTGGCCGCAAAAAAAAATAATAGTCAGTCGAAAACACAAGATTTCCAAAGTATTTGAATTTCAAAACGGAACCTGAAGTAAAAAAAAAACAACAAAAAACAAGATAAACGGAAATGGCACGTATACCACTTTACTCAATGTAAATTACTTAATCGAAATAAAGTTCACTATAATTATGATAAATATGTTATATTACCAAAGAGAAACGTTTTTTATATACCCACAATAGATATGAGAAGAGATTTCAGATGACAAAAACGATCGAATTAATTATTGCTAACTAATCGTTTTCTTATCATATTATCATATCTTACACACTCCCATGTTGGGGAGTACCTATTATAAACCCTTTTAATTAAATCATAAAGTAATGATTATCTGGTGAGAAGTGAAAATTAAATTGAAACATAACAAATCTAAGACTTTCATATAGTTTAAAATCAGTTTTAACATTTTACTCATAATTTTCAAATATTTAAAATAACGTTTCGTTTCTCCATGTGCAATTTCTAACACAACTACGGATAGATAGGCGATAATGAGTACAGAAGACGATAAAATAATAATAATATCGTATACATATTGCATATGAAATTTTTAACTTGGACGTTTTCGGATCGTTACTCTTTGTAATTAAACAAAAATAAACGAAAAACAGCTACTGGCAGTATCAAATGGCTATCATTACAGACCGTCGAAAAAAAATTATAGACCACATGTCGAGCGACATATTACCATCCTCCCCCCCCAAAAAAATACCATGTTCAAATGCCTGATCTATGAAGTTATATTCTATATAGACATCCTTTCAAAAAAATAAATATGATAGACAGCTAGGCAAAATTAGCACTTATATCCGTTAATAATAATAATACATTCAGGATACATGGCCGCAGGAATCGGGGGGGGGGGTGACCATGCCCCCCTCCCCCATAATTTTGCCGATATATAAAATACTATATAAAACAAAGCTACTAATGCTTGTGCCCCGTCAATGAAAACGTCTGATGCCCCCCCCCCTTTTTTTTTTGCTTGTCAAGGAATTTTGGTAGTTGATAGTGCCCCCAACTGAAAATGTATGGCTGTGCCCCCCCCCGCCCCCCCCCCCAACTGAAATTGCTACCTACGGGCCTGGGATCTATAATAAATTTATGCAATGACCGAGTCACGAAAAATCAATCGTTTTTAAATTAAATTTTTATCAAGGAGATTTAAAAATAATTAAAACTGCTATTGAATTAATTAATTAATTTTTTTTTATACTATATATACAAGGACTAATATAATTGGCATTGTTATTTATTCACTTTACTACTTTCTTGTTTAAATGGTAGCCAGTCTGATTAAAAGCAGCCCCCCTTCTCCTTTCACTCCTGACAAGTGAAAGGAGAAGGGGGGCTGGTTTTAATCAGACTGAATGGTAGCAGTTGTCCCACGTATTTAATGAGTGAGGGATGGAATCCCGAACCCCCCCTCCCCCAATAACCCCCCCTTTTTTTTGTAAATGTAATAGGTGGTTTTTTTGTGTTTTTTTTTTTGCTTCTTATTTTATATCAATGTTCTAATCCCCCTTTATGAATTTACACTACTACATGTATAAACATGCTTGCTAATCTTGGTTGCCCTCTCTCCCTTGGGCATGTTACATTTAAGCGGAGTAACTCAAAATAGAAAGAGATAGCAAGTAGCCTCCCTTTGACATTTTTTTTCCATGTGTTGGCTAGGTCACAGCATGCATGCGACTGAAATTACTTAAAAACCATAAAGAGTTGTCACTGCCTTGGTAGTAAGTTATTCGTTTATACAATATAGGGCATTTTTCTTATAGAGGCCTATCACAAAAATTACACGCGATCTGTAAAATCAATCTATATTGTTTATTTGATTTGTCAACTCGAATTTTCTAGGTTCAGTACTTCGTAACATAATTTATGTTAAGAGGTCTCGGATCAGTAAAGGTTTTCACAAATAAATATTAATTAATCTTTTGTCTTAAAATGCCACTGGCGATTTCTGAAACGCATGTTGGGTATGGGTTATAATTATATTATAGGCTACATGTAGTTATAATAGACTCTATTGCGTAACATTTACCATGTGTATGTTGTCGATGCAGACTTCACGACATTTATGTATTGTAAGGTGGCAAAACAATCTTTATAAATACGTCTTGCTAGTTGCATCCGATGTAATTTGTTTAATATTCTAGGCTATTCCGACACGGCCACTCAGGGAGAAAATAAAGATGTAGCCTACATGTTTCTCGGGTGATCTCCCTTTGATTACATAGTGACCATGGTGACGAGGAGCCGGGAGTTGGAAAACAAATTCAAAGCATAAATTATAAAATAGGCTGTCAGAGGAAAAGAGAACACATTATTTTTTTTTTAACATTTCAGCATAATGATGAGTTAAATATAGATCAGCTACTTGAAGGAAGACTGCATTGAGGCACGTAGTACACAAAATGTCGACATTATT